AAACGATTAAAAAAATTGTTCATTGTGTCATGTGAGTTAAAAAATTTGCTAAGTAAAATTCATTAAATGCCTTTTTAATAGCGAGAACAAAATCTTATGTATACTGATTGTAAAAATATGAAAATATTAACGAAAACAAGTATACAGTTAATCTTTACTAGCAGATAAAGGCAAAACATTCAAAATAAGCACATTTAAATGATGGACATACGCTAACAAAATTCTTATAAGTTAAATAAAACTAAAAACAAAAAAAATTAAATACAAGCTTCATTTAGGTTATGAAATGAAAAACAAAATGGCGAAGTTAAAACAACTGCCATTATACTGAGTAAGGTAAAATTACTACTTTTGTTTTATTATTTTCATTGACGAATTCTTTCTTCAATCAACCTAACTGTTAGAAGTTGAAAATCGTCCAGGACACTGCATTGTTTATATTGACCCTTTGCTTTCTGAACGGTATCTGCCCTGGAATTTCGATAGTTTTAAAGTTTCAGACTAGAAGTCAAAGTATCCTATGCTGCATATAATTGGAACTATGGAATTTCAAGATTTGGATTTTTGAATTCCACAGTATAAGTAATTCCTTTACTATGACACAAAAAATCTTAGGTATGCTTTTCAAGTTGGAGTCTACTTCAGGGTTTTTAAAGCCTAAATAGCTTTTCTTTGAATGTAATTGATTCTGTAGTGTTTTATGTTATCTAGTTCTGCAAGCATGAATATTTCTTGTACCAACTCAGTTCCTTTTTTCTTTTTACACACTTTACAGATGGTGACTGCTAAATACTCTAAACTTAACTGCAAAAAAGACTGAAAAGAACATTCTAGGAAAAAACTCCTACTATTATCTAATCTGATTGCCAAAGAAGTATTATAAAGAAGTGGAATAAGGGAACAAATTCCAATTTTTATCTTTGCCTGTAATGTGTGTATAAAACATATTTGATATAAAATAACAAAGTTAACAATATAAACAGCTAAGAGCTACAGTGTCTTATCATATTGATTAAAATTGTGCTTTTATTATTTTTTAAACCAAATACAAGAATACACTTTTCACAGAGCAATTTAAAACGTATGGATTATTGAATAATGAAACATTGCTATTAATTCTAGCAGATTCCCATGACGTTTGGAAAAAAACATTAAAATGCCTCATCAGTTAATGGGTGTAAAAAATCAAATATTTCTTTTTAAAAACTATGTACATATATTTCAAGATCTTAAGAGAAATTACAGTCCGAGTTATGCACGTATGCAAGTATATTCAGTATAGTGTTTCTTTTCTTTAAAAATTTAAACAGATGAACATCTATTTTTTTGTAGAGAATTTTCAAATTTATTCACACATGCATGTTTGAGTGGAAGTACAGATTTAATAATACAGAATGTGCAACGAAACGTGGCTAAATTGCTTTATATTTATAGTCACAGATTTTATAACTTATACCACACTAACCACCTTAGTCCAACTATACTGATCTTCAGGTGAGGGACATAGGATACTATTATTTAATTACATGTTTTTATAACTTATACCACACTAGCCACCTTAGTCCAACTATACTGATCTTCAGGTGAGGGACATAGGATACTATTATTTAATTACATGTTTTTATAACTTATACCACACTAGCCACCTTAGTCCAACTATACTGATCTTCAGGTGAGGGACATAGATTACTATTATTTAATTACATGTTTTTATAACTTATACCACACTAGCCACCCTAGTCCAACTATACTGATCTTCTGATGAGGGACATATGTGATTAGTTAAGTAGGTCAGTTACAACTGAGTTTATCTACAACGAGTCCCTTACTTGTTCTTTATCCAACTGGGTCTTTGGGATGAGAGTAAATGTGATCTGCAAACTGCCCATTTGTTTCGGGTCCTGGGGTCTACCAGAATCTGTTAGATATACTGTTAAGTTGGTTGGCCTATAGCAAAGGAGAAAAAAATACAACAACATCGTTTACGATGACTTGGTATAATCAATCAGTTTGGTGGATGAAGAACATATATTATTAGAAGTGTTAGAATCCTAGAATATCCAAATATTATATACACCTATTCATAATGCACAGTAGGATATACTTATTAATCTAAGCGTTACATGTTTAAAGCTAGAAATTATATAAAGTTTCATTATGAGAGTTTAGATTTTATAGTGTATTTAATTAATATAACAACTTATTTTATGTGTGCTTTAAATAGTGTAATATTGTCTGCTTGCATGCACTTTTAATTTCATAACCTGATGTGCCATCCCTTACGATGGATATAATTTTACATCAATGACGTTTTGTATACTCTCACGTGAAATTCACCTCGTTACGCATATTTGAATTATTTTGAAATCTTTTGTATAAGCCTAAACTCAGTTAGCAAGTGTCTTGTTCGCCCCCTATTAATCCATAATGGCGAAACATTGGCTTAAATAAAAACAGTTATATTTTTGGAATAGTGGGTCGTGCTTCATTTATTTTTTTAACAGTGAGGTAAAATTTACTTGAAAGCTACATTACATGTATTTCCAACGTATACAATTTGATCAAAACATTTACGAGTGTGTTATATAAAGTGGTGAAAAACAATAAGGTATAAGGTTTTTTAGGCTTTTTCACGCTTTAGTACAGATATTATTTCGAATTAGAGGTGTGTAAAAATAGCATACCGGATAAGTTTTTTTTATTTGCACACAAGTTACTGCCATTCAATATGAGAACACAGCTGGATCTACAGCAATCAAAAATTATATCTGAAGTGCCACTTATAATATTTATTTAAAAACAGATCACCGATGGACAAGTTGTTACACGAAGATACAACTGAGCGGCATACGTAGTGACGCCTACAAATGTAAAAAAAAATATTTATGACGTAATTTTCGTCGAAATCACATGACATTATCAAACACATATATATTACTGGCTAACATGTTAAAGGATCAGCCACAAGATATTGCTATTTACCAAATTCAACTAAATCACTTGTTTGTTAATTCAGCTACTTAGAAATTATTATTTCTAAGTGTCGGGTAGTTATTACATGTTAAACCAGTTCTAAAATATTTTTCATCACCTCTCACAGATTTCGTTGTCGATTATAAGTAAGCCCTAAATAACTGTGATAAATCGGAACTTTGAATTTTATTGTACTTCTTTAAAGCGATCACTGCTTGACTATTCTAAAAAACAAAAAAATAAGAAGTAATTTTTTTGGACCTGAAAAAACGAACACGGAATACTGAGCAGTCATTTACCAAAACATGGATGAACTCTGACATTAAAATCACTTATAATATCACAAATATCTAACTGTTTGCTTGTATGTTTATTTTGTGTTTAAGCGCAAGGTTACATAATGGCCAACATTGCACTCTGTACACCGCGGGGAATCAAGCCCCGCAATTTTAGCGTTGTAAGATCTTAAAGTTATCGCTTATCCAACGCTAATTTCCGCATAATCGGTGATCTTTGCGTAAAGTTATCTCAGTTTGCAGTGACCTGCGAAACAAATTACATCTAGGTATAAATTTAAATATATTTCTTCCAATTGGAAATTATGTCTAATAGTCTTCGCTGAACTCGAAGTTTAATATACTTTACAAAAAAAAATAATTCTAGGTTTGTTTTTAACTCTCTTGCTTGTTTGTTTTGAATTTCGCGAAAAATTACACGAGACCTATTTGCACTAGCCGTCCCTAATTTAGCAGTGACAGACTAGAGGGAAGGCAACTAGTCAACAATACTGACCGCCAACTCTTGGGTTACTCTTTTACCAACGAATAGTGTGATTGCCCGTCACATTATAACGCCCCCACGACTGGAAGGGTAAGCATGTTCGGTGAAGGGGATTCGAACCCGCGACTCGCAGATTGTGAGTCCAACACCCTAACCACCGGGCCTTGCCCAACTTCGTTAACTCTCTAAACTGCAAAGTTAAAACGATTATAAATTTCCGCTCTTAGCTAAAAAATGTCATTGCACGTTACAGGTGTTACAATATGTAAGAGTAGTGCAGCTTTTTACTAACTTGTTTAATTCTAGACGTGTTAGGTCTACTTGTGCTGAGCCCATGTAGTCATCCTGAAGCCCAAAATCATAATCATAGACACGAATCTGAAGAGGCTGGAACACGTCCTCTACCGGCAAACAGAAAAATTCGTCCCAGTGTGGATCCAACGTTTTTGGAACTGTTCTACTTTTGTACAACTGTCGACCTGCCAGTTTAAACTTGACATAGGGGTCGCTAGTACCTAGGAAATCAATATACACATTAATATATTAAGATTTCTATTCGTTCAAATTGCAATATCATCTTTCAAGTGAAACTCAAAGCTTAAAATATAATTTGTTTTAAGTAATATAAACATAGAAAGAAAAAAAAGATAAAAATAAGGTGAAACTGTACATCAGAAGATGATGTTCCTGTAATAAAAAAATTTAAAAAACGTGATAACCAATTTACTTGGTTTGTATGTTTGAAGTTACACATAAAGCTACAGAATGAGCTGTCTGTATAGCGTTGTAAGTCCGCAGCCATACCACTACGCCACTGGTTTAAGTTCCTTTGCTGTGTGGCACTAACAGTAATTCTGAACTACCGTATCAGTGCTAAGTAATTTTTAATTCGGTGTTATATATAGTTATGTTTTATTTACACAGTGGCGGATATTTAGGGGGTGGGGGCAATTGTCTCACACACTTTAATTTGTCGGAAATCATACGAATCTACACGTCATTAAACATTAATTCACCACTTTACATGTTTTATCGTGATTCTAAATTCCAGGATTAACGTGTCCTTGCGCGATGATTTCGTACATGAAAGTAGTGCGTGAATATATTAGAAAGTTCTACAGGACTCAGAGATTGAGTGTCTGTGATTGAAGTTTTGTTGTTTTCAAATTTCAATTATGCAAGTTCCAGATTGGGCGAAGTTATCACCGAAATGTATTGCTGTATATAAAATCAGCAGATATCTTTCAAACGATTTCCCAATTAAAAGTTTTGGAATAATTACAGTAACAGCATTTAACCAGCATCAAATAGAAATATTATTAAATAAAATCATGTACCACCGATCTGGGCCCACAGACGTTAACCTTCACAAATATACAATATCTCACAGTTTCAGTCTGTCGGATTTTGGATGGGTCTTGCCCCCTCACCAAATTTTGAAATGTCCGCCACTGTCATTTATAAAGATGGCAAACTTCTTCAAATACGCTAACGAAAATCAGAAAATATATTTCATATCCTGCAAAAAAAAATAAAGAATATATATATATATATATAATATAATAATAAGTTATCAAACAACGATATATTAACGTAATGAATTTATTTCATTAAAATTAATTATTAATTCTAATCTACTGTACATTTCCCCCTGTATCATACTATTTAAATCTCGGAGATTTTTATTGATTAGTTAGGGTTTACACAGTGCTGCATCTCCCTTTGTGCCACTACATTTACTAGATGCATAAAGCTACTTTTAACATCTGTACATGAGTATTAATTATCCGAGTCGGGCTGGCTGGAGACAAAGATAGAGCATACATCAGAAACTAAGTATGTATGCAGTCGTCTCTGTCTAAGTGGCCTTTAGAGTCGACTAACACAGATGTTACAGAAAGTACATAAGCCAAAACAGGCGCCGAACCGGTACACTTGAATGTTTCGATTCTTTAGCCTGTAACTGTCTTGGACAAATTTATTCATAAGGCAGCTTGAAAGTCGCGTAATGAAACAGTCCACGAATAATACTGCTTAGTAAATAACTTGTTTACGACAAAAAAAAAAAAACCGCTCGTATATTTTCGTGGAAGGTTACACGTGGAGGTGTTTGACAAAAGAATCGTTCATGTTTGTTTGTTTGTAATTAAGCACAAAGCTACGCAATGGGCTATCTGTGCTCTGCCCACCACGGGTA